CCCCAAAACCCCAAAACCCCAAAACCCCAAAACCCCAAAACCCCAAAACCCCAAAACCCCGTCAATTATTTATGCGACTGAAGAGAGATAATATAATTCATAAACTAACATGAGCGATACAGATAAAAACATAAAGGGATCGAAGAAGGACTCTCCCACCAGTCTTCACGGATCCTTCCTTGTAGACTACAAAAAGCAGAAGAAGTTTCAGGACAACTCCATCGTGTACATCAATGGAGGAAAATACATGCTGAAATAAGGTTGAAGATAGCAGTAAGTCGTGTATAATAATCGACCTCTCTCACCATTTATTGTATAATCAAATTTTACATTTTTGGAAAAAGTATTTTCACTAGCCACAAAAAGGGATTCACAAATATCTAAGCCTCATACATCGAATATATCAAACTGAATAGGATTAATAGCGTTGCCAGGGTTAGAGGTATTGAACGTCTGAAATATAGTTTGTCAGATCACCATTTTATGTCACTTCAGTACCTGAACATTTCTTAATCCTGATCTTAGATCTCTTACTGTCTTGACTTGATTCTCTTTCAAATTCTTGGTTACATAATATTCATAACTTGTTCCTAATTATAAATAATAATCTATTAGCTTATTAGTTAGCCATTTTGGCAGATATTTCTTTGTATTAGTGAGAGTAGTAGGAGCAGAATCTTTGGGCGAAGCACAAACGTTTCTCATCAAAAGTCACATATACTTTGCTTCTACCAATGTTTAAATGATATCGAATAGAGCGTTAGAAAATCGTGTAGGAATTGTAAGTCTCTTTTATCATAAGTTTAAAAAGTTGATTTTATATCAGTCTCATTGGACTGAATCATCCAGAGCTTAAAAGTACTTAAAATCACCAATTTGATCGAAATTAGTAACATCTCTCATACATTAAAACTTTTTGAGAACCAGCGGTTTGATATTTAACAGATAAAAAAATCTGGATTACTATTAGATCAAACAGTCTGCGCAGTTTTAATCCTAGAGTAAATTAACCTCCTAAAGTAGTGAAGAAGCCGCTGGCTTGAGTAAGGGTAAAGAATACTCTGTGTTGTGGTAATAACAACAGAATAACCCATTTCTTAGAAAGTTGACTGGTATAGTTAATGAAGCCTCTTACTTTTTGTCAATTTGAAATGTGGAATATTGGTCTTTGAATTCAAAGTTCTACTAAGAATCCAATTATGATCCTTAAATACACAATAATTTAGTGAAGGAGAACAATTGGTTTATAGAATTAAGGAAAATGTAGGATCATAAAAAGTAACTGTGGAAGCTGGATGAGAGAGAGGAATTTTTCCGATTTTCGACTCTTTCCATCTATTGTATCATAAGGCGGCCGTCAAGGGTCTTTTCGGGAAATTTTGGATTTGCTTTGGTCATATTTGGCTTCTCTTCACTCTCAATTTTCATTGTCCCACAAGTAGATAAAGCTCTAAAAGGACTCAACCCTTCCTAAAACAGATATTTTTAGTACTCGTCTCCTTGAGTTCTTCCAGGATATTGGAAGAACTACCAAAAGAGAAGGAAAACCGAGATTAGAGAGTAAATGGAGAGTTATTCCCTTATCCCTACTACTACCAATATTTCGTCAATATTATGAATAAAAATACCCAAATCGATGACCCATCTGTTATATTATTTCTTTCTTATACACTCAACTATATTCTAAATTCTTAAAATCTAAACTCTCTCAACTATAAAGCAAAGTTTTAGAAATTTTTTATGAAAATTCTTTTCATTAAGCTAAATATTACTAAAAATATAATTCAATTTAAAAATGAGAATATTGTAGATGAGGTAATAAACCACTTTTTGTTTTAAATCCCTCTGCCTCCTCTGATGACATTTGTGGTTAAGATAACATTCTCCTATGATTATTCCCATGAGGTTGGGAAGTCCTGAAATCTCTTATAGACGGGCTTCCTAATTTTGGAGCCTCATCTTGATTAGCTATTGAAGAAAATTTCCTTGATAATTAATATCTTTGCTAAAAGTTGCTACTGCATCTAAAATCTGAATAGTGTTTTGAAGAAATCGAAGTAAAAACCTTAAATTTCTCAGTCATTATCAAGCAGCTCTGAAAGGAAGAACGATGAGCAATTGAGGATAAGATAGCCTTTAGATTTTCTACTATTCATGAGCTTTCTGAGTTACAATGTGCATCGTCTTGAAACTCATGATTCCATTCTGAGTTTGAATAAAGAAATAAATGAGATAATAAACAGACTTCTTTAGAGCTCTTTGTGGTAAAGAAAATCAATACTGAAGTGTTTCTTCGTTTTTAGATTACTCAAGTCTGAAAAATAGGAGCTTTCTATAAGTCTTAGAAATTATTCAAATTACTGAACTTCTTCTTCATTTAAAGATTTTTGAAAAATTCAAGATGTAGTAAATCAAAATCTCAAGCCCATTGAGCCATGATCAAATTTTTATGGGAATAAAAAAAGTTCCCAGCCCTTAAAAAAATGAATTTGAGACTCTTCTCTAGATCCTATATTGGAATTCGTATCTAATAGGTTTTACCATGAAGAAATCTAGGTTCTAATTTGAATATTTTTAATGATTGATAAACCTTGCTAGATTAATAATAGCCATATAACACTCCTAAACGTATCAAAGAACTGGCAATTTGGTTGTCCTAGGCCTTTGAGGGGGAGTAAGGTCACTCTTCGACAAAATTACATTATTCCAAATTACCAGAATTTTTACAACTTTTATGATGCAAAAATCCAGTCTGACATATGTCTTCATAGGAATGACCAACCTAAATCTTGATACATCTATTTCCAAGAAGCTTAATGAGTTCAAAAGACTTGATAAAGAAGGAATCTCGAAAATTCAAATTAAAGGTAAGCCTGACGAAGAAGACATTACAAATTCGGTGAAAGACATCTTAATGTTTTAAACAATAGATCTGACTTTTTATAGACAAAGATAAGAATATTATTTCAACAAATGCAGCCATGGTGACTAGGAAATTGGGTATGAAGAAGGGTGTTTCCCAGCCATTAGGCCTTCAGCCGAATGCTAAACTTGACATTCGTGGAAATCGGGCTAGAAGAAGCAATAAGGTTCAGAATCTTATCAATGAGATGAGAAGCAAATCTCCTATGTATATTCTTCAGTCAGAGAAATTAGTACCTGACCCTAGAGTTGAGGTTCAGCCCAAGCAGAGGATCAAATCTCCCATATTCCAAAGAGTAAAGTCTCCGCTGCAGGAGAATACTGAAATTCCTGATTTTCCAAGCTTGACTGCAAAAGAAGCCCTAAAACTGTAAGTCTTCTACTTCCATCTGAGCATATTTCTAATACGCAATAGTAAAAGTAAGGAACAAAGGAAACTCAGACACGATCACAGGATTGCCGAAAGGATATGTAATTCTGAAAAGAACTCTACTACTAGTGAGTGATCGCCCTTTGCTTGTACGAACAGGCCAAGAATTGGCTGCGGATTACAGAGCACATTTAGCAAGAAGTTCCAAAGCACAAAAGGTACTACTCTTTCTGAGCGATTGTAATGTTTTTAGGAACTCATAAGCCCAAAATGAATTTCTTCAATGCTGAAAGTTTTTCTCCAAGAAAAGCTAGAAGGAACCAGAGGCCAAAGCAAGACTTGTCTTCGTTCCTATCAGACAACGAAATCACTCTCATGAGAGATAAGATCATGAACGATTTCACCTCTTTGGTATAATAATTCTGTAAATTTGCAATTAACTGTCATCACCAAGGGGTTTTGGGGTTTTGGGGTTTTGGGG